AAAAAAAAAAAAAAAAAAAAAAAAAAAAAAAAAAAAAAAAAAAAAAAAAAAAAAAAAAAAAAAAAAAAAAAAAAAAAAAAAAAAAAAAAAAAAAAAAAAAAAAAAAAAAAAAAAAAAAAAAAAAAAAAAAAAAAAAAAAAAAAAAAAAAAAAAAAAAAAAAAAAAAAAAAAAAAAACACAAAAAAAACAAAACGGTTCTGTAGCCTTCCATTCAATTTACTGACAGAAAAAACAGCAATAAAGCCAGTCAATTCAAATGCAAGAGAGGACATTTAAAAAGTAATCTCTGAAGAATACAAATATGTCCTCCCCCCACCTCAATTCTGTTTAAAAGCAGAAGGAGCCAACAAATAAAAGCTTTACAGATACGTAAAAGGCAGACAATATTGGATAAGAATGACAAAAAAAATGTTTTCTTGAAAAAAGTTCAAAAACATTCCTTGAGTTTTGTCCTCCACTCACAACCCATTTAAGGAAAAAGCCCCATAAAAACACTGTTCAAAACAAAGACATTGAGACAGGCAGACTTGATCCAAGACTGGAGAAAATCTCCTTGGGGGGTGGTGTGTGGAAACCTTCTCAATTTCAAAATAAAGTTATAAAAGCTTCAGTAAATTGCTTCAGCTCTTTAGAGCTACGTTCAAAGACCAAGTATTCTTAGTGTAAATCTGTAGATTACCAGATCCTTCCAAATCCCTTCTTATATATTCTTCAGAATTATCTTCAAATGCTTCTTCATCAGCCGCTGACAATACAAAATACAGAGAAGTTTAAATACTGAGATCTCTGTTTTTTACATAAAAAGGTGTATCATCAACAACTTTCTAGTTTTTCCAAGGACTGTTCTATAACATTAACAGAAATTAATCAGAAATATCTGGCCAGACTAGACTGTTAAGCTTTCTCCTGCCCCACAAATTAGGTCTTTCATACTCAAGAGCCAATGTATTGATTTTTAAAAAAAAAAAAAAACAAACAACCCAAAACATCTAAGACATATTTAACACCAGGTGAATTTAAAAAGGCTTCCAGAGCTACAGACTTTAAAGAGAGCAGCTCCTTATCACTGCAATACATCTTCACTGCATTGTAAATACTAGGATCAATATGAGCCCATGAAAACCTGGAGAACTTGACATTTTACAAGGCCTGATATTCCTGACTATTTAGGCTCCTTGAATTATTCTGATACTCACATTAAGCGTGGAAATTTATTGCTGGCACGTGACCTAGACTTCCTACACTGGGATTTCGCCATGAAAAATCAGTATATTTATACAATTCTACAAATCCCACAGGACAATCTGCTGCATAAACTTGGGTTTGAATCTAAACACTAAAGTTCACAAGAGGGAATCCTCGATTCTTGGTCCTGCAGAGCAACTTGTCATTATAATTAGATTTTGACTGTGCTTTTGAAACCTTAAATCTGCAAAAGTTACCTCTAAATTCCATATTGGGAACAATAACTTTCTCACAGATGCTTGTCAGCGTATTCTGGTCTTCAAACAGGTGCTTGTAATGTGGTCTTTCGCAAACTGAGGCCAGAAACTGGATTGCATTACTGACCAGCTGCAGCACCACAAACAGAACACAAAGCTTTAGCATGATTGATCAATTTATAATTCATTACCAAACCCGACAAGATCAGTTTATAACAACTTACCAAGTCATACTTCACCTCCTGGCCTGTCGTGACTAACAGATTCCAGATTGCTGTTACAAAACGTGGCAGGTAGGGCTGGAATTCTTCATCGTATTTTTGAGCATATAAAGCAGCATTATCACAAATTTGTGATTTCAAGAGCTCCAGTAATCCAGCTTCCTCTTCATCCTCACATAAAACAAAACTAAGAACTTAAACATCCAAACTTCAATGCTATTTCAACATTAAAAGTATCCAAATACTTAATGGAAATATTTACACCATCATTTTATTGTGTTCTAGAATTGCTGCACTTTGCTGGTCTGCACCCCAACTGCTCTCCAAGTTATAAATCATACCTACATTTCAAATCAAGGTACTACGCACTTTATTCAGACCAAATAATTTACATGAAATTAATTTACAAATGTAATAGGAGAAAGACAACACAAGGCACTGAAAAAATATGCTTAGAAGATATTATATGATACTTTAAACTGGAACAGTTGTAGCTCTCTCCCCTTCTCCAGATCAGCAAAGATGCTTCTAGGAAGTTGAGCTGGAGTTAAAAAACCATCCCAATTAGACCCCACACCTCAGCTCTGTCTGCCCCTCTCCCCTCCACCCCCACCTTTCAGCTTTAACACCTCTCCCAGTTCAGCTGCACCAGTGTCTGTGCTGGGAGCAAATGAGAGAAGAGCAGCAAAGCTTCTTTCAGCAGCAGGGTAATAAAGCACAAGACACCCTTCACATGCCTCCCTTTGTGCTGTCAAGAAATTATATTATAGAGTTGTTTTGGCTCCATCAAGTGGCAAACTACTGTGCTGTATCGGGAAGACTTTGGCACTCAAAACGCAGAGAGCACGCACAAAAATAATTTGAGGTTTGATAACTTGGTATCATCTTTCACCAGGGAAATTACTAATTCTTTAATCAAAGACAGCAAATGCTGAAGCACTGAGGGATGTCCTGCCCTCCGTGTTCAGCTGGTTCAGGTTCTTTAGGATACCCTGTTTTCTAGAACACTGTGCATGACCCAGCTGAGGCACAGGAAACCCGAGCACAGCGATGCCAATGGTCAGGTTACTCCAGCAAACGTCTCTGAAAGGAGCGACTCACTGACAAGTATCTGTAATTTGGTTTCTGTGCACAGCTGGGGTATACCTATAACTGACATACAGCTTCAAGAACTGGACCTCAAATTCCTTAAACAACAGAACAACTTCTCTTAAACATCATTAGAGTCATTCTACTCCTTTGTTTGCCCAGCCAAGAAAACACTGCATGGTCCAGAGTTAGACACAAGCTCACAGTCAACCCTGTCCCCTACACAGAGACAAACCAGGAGGTTTATACAGTACTTACATCAGTCTGCAAGAGTTTATTATCTAAAGTTAGAAGACTATGGAAATTTGTCATCCACGTTTCCATGTTATCTTCAAAAAACTCTGGAAGATCCTGTGAAGGGAAAGCATAAATCTCCATTTTAATTTCTGACTGCACTGCTTAGATAACAACATACCTACACTGTAAGCAGTGCATCCACCTTGTCACCTACTGAGGGACAATAACCTGAGGAAAACAATCTTCAAAGTGAAACACTACTCCCTCCTCCTCCCCCCAAAGGAAAACCCTCCTGGCAAATGCTCTGGAATACAATTATTTCCAAATAAACTATTTGCTTGCACCCTAAACAGACTCCCCTAAAAAGGCCAAGCTAACCTGGTAATCAACCCCAGCCTTCCTGCGCGTTTCCTCCAGTGCTGATGCACTGTTAACTGTTATTTTTACCATAAAGCCCGGCCTTAGAGGCTGCCTCAAATGAATTCTATAGCAAGAGCATAGCAACTTCATGAGACCAAAGCAAACCATTAAAAGAAAAGGAGATTCACCTGGAAATTTAAACTATAGAACAGCTTCGCAATTAGAATGAGAGAAGAAAAGAGAACCTTCAGGGCACTGGCATCATTTGCATGTGTGCTGCAAAGTTCAATGGTTGCCTAGAAAAAAATGCAAGATCTAGTCAAGTACAAAACCAAAAGATATTGAAGTGACATGGGACATTTTTGTTTGTTTGTTTAACCAAAAAATACAGTTATTGCTCCTCCCCTCATCAATCCTGTTAGGTCTCACTTCATGACTTTAGCTTGAACTTCATTAACAGCTTCAAAACAACTATCCTTGAGTTTTAATTTTACAGCCACCCACAAAAAGCAATTCAGAACATTAAACTTATTTTAGAAGTGATTCAACAAGAAATACCTTAAAGAGATTTGTCAAGGGTAAAGCAAAGGCATCAAGAACAAGTTTGATCTCTGTCCATAATTCATTTGACTTAAATTCATGGCGGTACCTGACAAGTGAAACACATGAAAAACAGAATTCATATTTCACATT